GAAAACCCTTGACAATTTCTCTAATGAGAACCAACTGACCTAAATAAGAACAGTCAGGAGTTATCAATGCCAACTTATGAAACGAGTAAGGCATTCACAAATTAATTTTTTTCAACACTCCACTTACATAATATATAGATTTAGCCAGGGCTAAAAGCGAAGCTCCCATTAATAAATTTATAATTTAAATCAAATAATAAACTTGTAATCCACAAATCAGTTAACTTTAAGGAAAGGTTAAGGCTAAGTGATTTTAGAGTGGAAAAAAAATCTTACATAGAATTGATAGCCGTATATATACACCCAAAAAATAGCAATCATCTTCGATCACATTTTAGAGCCATAATGGCTCTTGATCACGGTAGATTAGGCCTGGAAAACGAATTTTTGGAAAACAAATCAGGCCGAATTTTTTGCGTTCGACAAGTTTACTTAACAAAAACTTGCCAACAACTCTGGGAGCATGTAAACCAACATTTCATACTTTTTATACATCACATCTGAAACAGTAATATGAGACGTTGTTTTTATCATATAGACCTCAGACAAAATGCAGTATTTCACAATTTTTCGAGACAAATTGCACTCGTTCAATATTCAGAACCGTACGAAGCACGCGTGGGCTTTTAGCACTTGGACCGTTCAAAAAATTTCCAAAATCACTTATACGGCCAGCCGCTTCTCACTTTTGAGAAGTGCCAAATTTTCAGTTAACATTAAAAGAGTTACGCTTCAACATAATGAAGAATTTATTGTGTTTTTTTTTTTATTAAATGGTTTTATAACGATGTGTAATCTTGAAAAGCATTTGATACGAACAGCATTTTGAGTACTCCTGCAAGCGTTGTTTATGAACGACTGAAAACAAACGGCAAAGCGATTAAAATTGTAAGAAACTACTAACAATCAATAAAAGAAATGTAATTCGGTGAAAAATTTGCAGAGACAACAATTTTCATTCAAGAAGAAAAGTATTAAAGCGTCTCTAAAAATCCTGAGTCTTTAAGCTTAAGCTTAAAGCTTTTAGCCAGCTTCCTGGTGTTTACTGTTTTCAAAGATGAACTCGAGGCAAGAAAATCGCTCAAAGCTTTCTTTCTACAGCCAAAATTATAACTAAATACTCTTCGGAACGTTTTTTCGTTCTATATGCGGAGAGAAAATATCGACTAAAGGCTTTTTAAAGTTCTGTAAGCTTATATATACTAGATCAGATCATTGTCTCAGATCTTAACACAAACGTGCATAAATTAGCCTCATAAACTGCGCTCGACTTCATGAAATTAGATATAAAAAAACAAACATACACTGTATACAATAATTACTTAGGCTTACCATTCGAGATGCAGCTCTTGAAAGCTATAAAGTAAGGCCAGAATCGCTTGAGGTACTTTTCAACCTGCATCCAACAAGGTAAAAACGAAAGCGATGCATCCGAAATCGGATTTCCAACTCTGGCAACCGGCGCATTTCCCGACCAAAAATTCAATAAACAAACCATGAATCAAAGGAGACTGTTGATAGCAGCTGTATTTCATTTTAAGCATCCAGTGGAAAAAGACAGTAAAAAACATCATAAGTTGACAAAATACTCTGTCAGCTTCAGCTGTCAAACTGAAAGTAAACAAGGTTCAAGATGCTGTAGAAAATTTTCTGCATGAACTCACCGGTCAAATTTTGACTCATCAGAACATAAAAATTGGACGGTCGTAGAGCGTGATCAATGCGTGACACTATGGTGAGAAAAGTGAAAAGTCTCTGTCTTCCCTGCTTGTATTTTTAAATGACTGGCTGAATTTTCAAGTCCGAGATCAGTTTGAAATCAAAATGTTAATAGCGCGGGGCCATAGTGACATTAACACAACACTTTCCGTCATCATGTCATTATTTTGCTGCCGTTCTCTTTGACTTTGTATTTCTCTTTCGCGTTGCCTTTGTCTGTTCATTCTAGCTCTGTCTCGTTCTACTTGCCGGCGTTTTTCACTATAATTTTCTCTCCTGCTTCTCGCTCTGACTCTTTCTACTTGCTTTCTTTTTTTCAAAACTAGTTGTGCGATATAATTGCGCGACGTTGCGCCATGCGATTTCCCGCCAAAAAAATCTCTACTTTCCCCTACCCCAAGAGTCCATGCGAACTACTTTCCACTACCCGGAAAGTCCGTACGGACGGACGTACGCTACGTCATAACCAAATTTTCTGGGATGGATAGTTTACCAAATTTTCTTACCCATGGTGCTCCGCTGCGCGCGCGGGAGCTCCGCTACAAATTGTTTTCTGAAGTAAAGCTTCTATTTACATATGTATAAATATACTCAAAATTCTACTGAATAGGAGCACACATTGACTTTAATACAATACTGTTTGGAAGGTCAAAATGAAGTTGATTCACTCCTCAGTTAAGTCCATGTGTGCTCGTATTGAGTGGAATGTGAGTAGTTTTCCTTTAACGATGAGCCCTCTGACGGTTTGCGGGTGAAAATCACCTGGAGTATTTAACAATTATTCCTCGAGCCCGAATGGGCTCTGAGTCAATAGCCCATGAGGCCGAAGGGCGAATGGGCTATTGACTCAGAGGCGATAAAGGCGAGAGGAATAATTGTTTCAGTAAAATCCAACTAGTTGGTCAAAAATATCGCGACAAAACAACTTTAGCTAGGTACCGCAAGACTTGAATCCTTTTTTTGCCGCCAAATTTCCGGCGCTTTTCGTTACTACTGGGCTATAACATATAGCCTAGTAGTAGCTCAACCAATCAGAACGGAGCATTGATAATAAACCACTAGTTGGATTTTACTAAATTTAAATATAAATTATGTCGACCAGTGGAACTCCAAATGGCAATAGCACACTGTTAAAGAAACTTCACGTGCCATATTTGTTCTGAAATAAATCTTGAAGCAAGGTTTTCGCTGATTCACTTTTAAAAATGTATTGAAGCTCCACTGTTACCAAGCATTGAAAAATGAAAAGAACTACAATTTAATGGCCCAGAGCAATGATTCAGGACCTTCATTTTGGCCTCTGGTACTTGGAGGACCGGCCCCCCTGTTAACCCATTGCCTTCTTTGCTGGTTGGACATACTTTCTCTATAGCGAGAGTCCAAATTTTGAAAAAAAAAATGGAAACTTCCTCTGATCTCCCCTCTAGGGGCCTTGTTCTGAGTACATCACCCTCCTCATCTGACTCATCGGACGAAATCAAGGCTGAATCTTCTGTGATCACTTTTAGTCTTTTCTCAAGTTT